GCGACAACTTTTTGTCGTCAGAAGAGCCTCACACAAGACCTATCCGGGCACCCATCATACCCCGAGACAACTATGATGGGGTCGACTCTGACGATGAGACTGACGAGGAAGGCGACTTTGACGAGGAGGAAGCGGAGGATCGGCCTCAGATAGTAGGCGACGTTGAGGTTGATATGAGAGAGGAGGAAGACGAGTTCCTTGAATTTTCGCGACAAACTCTCGGCATCAGCGATGAACAGTGGGGCGACATCTTACGAGATCGTAAGAGCCGTGGAGGTAAGTCTTTCGACGGACACATACCGCGACGATGCTCATATCCTTTCAGCATTTGTTCCTCCGGGGCTCACCATTCCCATACAAAAGACTCCACAGAGTCAGCTTGGTGTTCTGGTATCTGAGTCAACTCAAGGAAGGCCTCCGGAACCCGGGCTACCCCATGTAAATGCCAGTCTGGATTCTTTCGAGGCTGTTATGCTCGCAATGGACAAGGAGCTCGCTCACTCTCGTCCGAGCAAATCTAAACCTCCAGCTGCGAAACCGCGCGCGCCCCCGAAACAGGACAAAGGTAAAGGTAAAGCTGCCACCATTATCGAAGAAGCGGAAGATGAAGATATCGAGACCGCTATGGACAAGGAACTCAAAGCTGCATTGGAACGCGGAGAGGACAGTGGGGAGGAGGATGAGGGAGAGGCGTCGCTGGATTACAACCTGATCAAAAACTTTTTGGAGAGTTTTAAAAGCCAGGCTGGGTTGTCTGGGCCAGTCAGCACACTGGCTGGAAGGCTGCAGCCTGGCTGGCAGCTCCCAAGGGATTCTTGATTTTTCGGTGTATTGGTCTCGCCCATCGCGATACACTGACAGCAAAATGTATGCTACGCTTGTATCTAATAATATGTTCATCGCGTAGTAGTGTTGTCACATACCGAATCGAGACTGCCTCGCCAACTACATGTATGGTTGGCACTTGAACCCATGATTCACGCTGTCCTCATCTGTAAAGTACCCACCCTTGATACATGATGGAGATACTGAACGCGCGCATTCGCAGTCAACACTTCCGGCGTCGCGCGGCTGACGAAGTTTTACACACCCCTCCACCAATCGGCACAAAGCCTCATCCCCAAGATATTTTCCCTCGTGTGCTCGCGCCCTGCCAGTCTGTGCAACTTCCTCGACGCCCCCGAGCTCGAGGCGTTCCTTGGCCCCAAGGACAAGGCCACAAGGAGTGCAGAGGACGAGCGGTGGCGTGTGGTGTATCGCAGTTATGCGACTCTCTTTGTGTTTGTCGTCGATGGCGCGGAGAGCGAGCTGGGTATCCTGGACCTCATCCAGGTGCGAGACATGCCTCCACCGACCCTCTACGACATTGAAGAGTCGTAGGTATTCGTCGAGTCGTTGGACCGGGCTTTTGAGAACGTATGTGAATTGGACCTAGTCTTCCAGTTCGATGAGGTGGGGCGCCGGACCAATTCCACGTACATAGAAGAACTCACACTTCAAAGGTCCATCATATTTTGGCGGAAATTATCCAAGGCGGACTGGTCCTTGAAACAAATGTAGAGGAAATAGACAGCTTAGGTGCGCAATAATTCTACGTCCGATATCTACTCCTTATCTGCAAGATACCCCAGTGCAACTATCTGCTAAGCAGCGTAAAGAGTCCTTTGCTGCTGCAAATCCGCTTTCATTGGGCATAGGTGTAGGCGGCTCCGGTGCTCGAGGAGGGAACATCAAGTCGCCGCTTGGCTGGTTAACGGGGAAGATAACTGGAGTCAGGGCGATGTAACTCTTGAGTGAGGCGGAATATAATTCATTTAGGATTTTCTTGCATTGGGCTCATCTGTGCGGGAAGCGTTCCTGCAGGATTCTGTCAGTGAGTCAGTTCTTGCCGAGCGGACAAAAACATGCGTTTCCGTTTCTTTTTGCCTGCGCCAGGTAGTGATCTGGAAGGAGGTTCTTGAGATGCAGGCGCCGCTGAGGGGGCAATGGCTGCCGGAACGGGCGGCGCTGGAGTGGCAGAACTCCTGGCGCCTTGAGCTGACGGAGTCTCTGGGACATTCTCGACATTAGTCGCGTCCAACACGTTTGCCGAGAACACGGTTTTGGAATGCAACGCCGTGGCGCGCATTGCGTTCATCAGTAACATGCTATTTTGCTGCCTGACAATGCGACTCTGGCTTAGTTCCGAAGGTTAGAGGTGGCATGAAATACCTTTGAGGCACTTTCGCCTTGACAGGTTCAGGCGCTTCTGATTCAGCGCGACTTTCAGAGCGAGGCGTTGCCGTCGCAGCAACCTCTTCTGACGCTGCTTTCTTTCTTAAATCGTCGCCGGGCTGTGAAGAGTCGACGATAGGCCAAACGAAACCTGTGCGGGGAATATAGTCCGGCCTGCGGCTGCGCAAGATATCCAGTGAGGATTGTAGCGAACAGAGGGAGGTGAGCTGGATAAATTGGCGGACATCATCAGGCAGTCCTCGCTGTAAAAGGCAGTAGACCATACCAGCCGATTCGACAGGACGGTATAGACGTCGGGAGACTGGTATATCCTATTGTTCATGATAAAGTACGCTGCCAAGGGGCGGACTTGCTCGGGTCATGTTAGCACTAAGAGTGGAGGTAAAAGGACGTTCAGAAACCTTCGTCGGGAGACAGACGATCACGCTTGTGGATGATGAACAGAGACGGCGGCTGGGAGTGCACCACGGCGAATTCGACGCCTGTGAAGCGCCTGCTTTCCGAGTTCTTGTTCACATACTCTGTAGACAATTGCATGGAGACCTTGCCTCAGCTCCTCCGCTTCATTTGCAATCGCGGTGCCAGTGTGCATCGTCTGCATGCGCAGCACCTGGTTGTTACTCTGCTTGTCGTAGAACATCGATGTCGTGAAGTATTCGAACACGTTCTCCGCCGTTAACGGTCCGTTTGCCTGAGCGATGCACTATGAGATGACGAGAGCTAGAGACATGCATTGGGCACCTGAATCCATTCGTGCCATATGAAGAATCTGTGGCTGTAGTCATCTGGAGGATGCAGGTCGCTGACGTCCATTTCCAAGTACGCGAATCAGTGGCAGTGACTTTTTGTAGAAGGTTTCTAATTGGCTCGCGGCAAGGTTTTTAAGGGACAATTCGTGTTCCGCAGAATTACTGACGACCATGTCGGACAAAGATTTATCATTTCTCGCGTAAATAGATATGTATGTATCATAAGGAGAAAGTGGAAAGCAACAAAACACGGAGAGCAAAATTAGCATTAACAAGTTGGTCGACAACACATAGAAAATTAAGGAAATAAAATATTCATGTCGAGATCACGTTCGTCGCGGGGCCAAGGACGGGAGTCCAAGGCGGTACGATACGTGGCACATCGAATGACGCGGGGCGCGATACAGAATCTGGGCCGCTGAGCCCAGGGCGTGTGCGGCCAGAGACTGCGGAGGCAGCTGATGGTGACGTAAGCCTGTAAAAGATTCAGTCACCGCTGCGGAACGCACAGTACACTTGATCTTCCTACCCGAGAAGACGACACGCAAAGGAGATCTAGGAACAGTCGCAGTCGACTGCCTGTCCGACGTGACCCTTTCCGCAGCGCTCGCACCATTTACGCGTCCCCTGTTCCACCCCAATCGATTTCTTCGAGCCGACTGAGTGGTGGGAGGAGCAAACGGATTCCTCGCGTTGGGACTCATCGCGATGAATGCTGACGAGATGTCGACCCAAGTCGTGCTTGCGACTGAACGAGCGGCCACAGGAGCGGTGGGGGCATACATGGGGCTTCAACCGGTTGGGGTCGTGCGTGGCCATGTGTGTTTTGAGATTGTACGCACGAGCGAACGCTGTAGGAGATTGGACAGCAAGTGAGTAGTGAGCCATGGACCAAGCGATAAGCAATTGACCTCGTGGACACGACGGGCACCTGTATTTCTTGCGCGCATCGCCGACTTTGTAATCATCCTCCTCCGGGACATGCGCCATCTGGCCTGCGGGGATGGTCGGGAGCTGGGTGGAGATATGGGAAGGCGAGACAGTGGGACCAGCGTTGTTAAAGTCCAGTTGACTATACAAGTCAATTGGGATCGAGGGGCGTCGGGTGGAGGGACCGTAGTCTGAGAACGTAGCGCGAGGATTGTACGCTTTTGAATAAATCTTGGTGCTGCGGGTCATGTCAAGCGCAGCGCCGGCACCGAAGGACATGCGGTCTGCTGCGGCATCAGAGCTGCTGGCCTGAGCTGCGGCGTATTCTGATGTAGTATCCACACGTATGCGCTGGAAATCCATCTCCAAGTCCAGGGGGAAGGAATAGTTGGAAGGAGGCTGCGGGGAATGCGGGTAGTTATAGAAGGACTCGGAGTAGGATGAGAGAGAGTCGTAGGCTGACTCGGACGAGGCAGTTATGTTAGACGGGGGGCCACGAGTGGGCGTGTCGGATCTGAAAAACGAGTATGCGTCGTGGGAGTCGACTGTGAGCAGCTGGAGCTGATTGTCATCGAAATCGGCTAGACTGGTGTCGAGTTCGAGCTCGAAGAGATCGGGATGAGGTGCAAGAATGTCTGAGGGGCTCTGAAACGACACAAAATCGAGGCCCTTGTTGTAGTCTGTAGTAAAGTCATCAAAGACTGTGGTGGGCGGATACTGCGTGGCCTGTGGATCGGACATGGTGCTGGATTAATATGAGCGGCTCTGGGAATGAAGGATGAAGAGACCAAGTCGTGACTCGACACACTGCCTCCAAGTCCCAGCTGCGCATCACGCACGGCCACTCTTTGCCGAGATTGGCATCACTCTAGCCAGAACTTTTGCTTTTTTTTCAGGTTTAAGTTATGACTGGAGCCACCGATCGTAAACACATCGATAAATGAACCATCCGAGTCTGAGCCTGAGACACTACGTGGCTTCGTGCGTCCAAACCTGCAGTGGCAGGCGTGCGCCTGCCAGACGTTTCGGATTTTCTCTGATGGATCCTTCCAGGTACGACTCATTATATGTCGGCAGTTGTATATAGCCCGCCTAGCTCAATCGGATAGAGCGTCAGACTCTTATAGGCGGGTATCTGAAGGCTGCGAGTTCGACCCTCGCGGTGGGCTAATTGTATTTTTTTTCTTTTTTGAATTTCTTGACAATTACTTACGTAGATTTTTGCACTACATACTCTGGTGCTTTTTTATTGAGAATGGCTCGCTTCCAAAGAGTTTTAAAATGGGGCTGAAAAACTAAAATTCGAATAAGGTGAAAAACAAAACAAAAGAAACCAATAGCCCACCGCGAGGGTCGAACTCGCAGCCTTCAGATCACACCCGCCATAGGCTCGTAAAAGTCTGACGCTCTATCCGATTGAGCTAGGCGGGCTATACATCTGTAGTGCTGGAAGGCTACTAGACGATGGGATATCATAAACGCAATTACATGTTTTTACGCGCGTACGTTTGTCTCTATAGACTCGAAATCTAATAATCAAGTGTACCAGTCTGAAGTTAATTCAATATTTGAGTTTGGGTATAAATCGACACGGGATCGAGGCTCGCCACCATGGCGAAGCAAGTACGGAGGTATAATCCGCCAAGGAACGATCACGTGTGGTGATATACACAGGACAACATCGACTCGGAACTAGTAAGTATAGATTGTTATTCACACAATGTTCAAAGCCGGTTGCAATATTTAACGTTTTAGGGGAACTACGCGACATGTGTAACTCAACGCGATCCACTGGCACCAGGAGACGCAGCATTTCTTTACGATTAAAGCACGCGGTTTAAACATCTTGCCCGGGTCGGTTGACCCAGACGAAGGTTGAGTTGCGTACATTGGGCACCGCAACTTTGAGCGTGGTCGCGTCGTACTCGAACAGCCGCACAGCTGTTTTGGGGTCTGAGAAGCCTGTACGCGGGCAGGTTCAGACCGCGAAAACTCACTGTACGAGGAACCGTTCTGGAAGAACGGGTACATCAAGACATACGTCGCAGGGATTTCGTCCTGGTCGAAGATGTTCAAGACGACGGGTCCTTCCCAGCTGAATATAGTAGACAATTAATTGAGCGAACAGTGATCCCGGCAGCGACGAACAGATCAGAAACAACTGTATCGGGAATAGCGGCACCTGTGCGGAGGGCTCCCATTCCAAACAGGTTGCTAGCAGGGAGAAACACGTCGGAGTAGTCGAAGGTGATATTCTGTCCGTTGAAAAGAACAGGAGTGTGTATGCTGGCCGCAGCCATGGACGACAATGACAGAGTGGCCAAGAAAGCGGTAATAGAGGCCTTGAACATGGTTACAATGCAGATCGTGAGAGGGAGGAGTGCTGTGGATGGAAGCAAGGTGACATCGTACTCTCTTTATATGCTCCTGCAGCTCGTAGCGCGGCAAGCATGCGACGGCGGCGGCCAATCCTGGCCGAGTTTTCTGTGCTTCTCAAGTTCGTCGCGCCGTAAGCCTGCGACCGCGCGGTGAATCCAGACCGAATTCTTCTTCTTTTTGACATATGTAAGCCGGAAGGAGCGCGATTGACGGAGTTACGAGGTATAATCATCTATGATGTCTGTGGGGCTGCATGGACAACTGTATGAAGGACAATTTCGGATCTTATACCTTGCGCCGTAGGAGAGATGACCGTGACGCAGACGGAATATTACATCCAGCAAACTTACGACACGCCCTGCGATTACAGGAAAGCTCGAGTCCACCACTACTAGGCCCACTGTCGCAGACGCGTCATGAACAAAGCGTTCGCGCTGCACGAAAGCAAGTGCGAGGGACAGAAGAGAAGGTGAAGCACATCTCCAGGGAATACACACTTACATAAATTGGTATACAAATACTACTACAAGAATAGCCGAAAGAAAGCATAGACACATTAGTAGATCAAACACCAACCCTGAGGTGCAAGTCAGCTACACACCAGGAGCAAGACCGATTTGCAGTGACTTGCCTATGCACCACTTTTTTCTGTCAGATCAAGGTAGTGGTCAGTCACAGCAAACGCACAAACGGCGAGGACTAACCTGACCCGTGAACCGTATCACCTCGCTCTTCTCCAGAACAAACAGAGTCCGCTCTAGTGCGTGACTCGAATAACCTTGCTGAGTTACAAACTCCCGGACAAGACTCTGATAGCTTGTGCTCCAGCCGACAGGGAGCCTTCGTCGCAGTTCTCGTTCTATCTTGACCATCTCATCATTTAGCTCCCCCCGAGTGAGGCCGTCAGCAGAACCGGCGGAAACGGCATCCATCGTCGAGAACTTGAACAGCCGAATGGCTTCCTCTACATGATGGTTTTGTACGCCAGTAGAAAGGGTCATCTTCGCCAACGATTCTGATATGCGAATGATGGCTTCCAGTTGTCTGTATATCGAGGTTAAGGTTAATTCAATTTCTTCGTGAAACATGGATGGCAAAATACCGAATGGTGATCGGGATCGAACTTCGTTCGTCGTTATCACGCTCCACTTGTTGCACTTGCTTACGCAGACTAACGAAGTGGCTACTCAGCATCTCCTGAGCCTCAGCTGACAGTCGAGGAGCACATTTGCTGATTAATTGGCTGGTTTAGCGAGACCACAAAACCACAGACATAGACGTACCTCTTGCAATATGCAATGTATCGTTTCATGACATCCAGACTAAGCTCACCGGCAGTCTGATCAGCGTTTTCCTCAGGTCGATTCATCTGCATATTCATGACGTGTCTGGCGATCATCTGAAAATTGAATGAGTTAATGCAAGCGCACACAAACTGCTGCACTCGCCCTGTCTCGCTGCTCGTTATGCTCGTCCTTCACGATGAAGATCATGTCGAACCGCGATAAGATGGTTGTTTGAAAATCAATATTCTAGCTCAGCATAAGACAAAACAACACCGTCAAATGAAAACGCACCTCGCCAGGGCTTCGACCTTCGTCATATCTCCCAAACACGGGGTTGGCAGCAGCGAGTACACTCGTGCGGGAGTTTAAAACAGTAGTGATTCCAGCCTTGGCAATAGATATAGTCTGTTGTTCCATGGCCTCGTGTATGGCCACGCGATCCTCGTCTCGCATTTTGTCGAATTCATCGATGCAGACCACTCCCGTATCGGCCAAAACCATGGCACCTCCTTCGAGGTAAAATTCGCGCTGCCCAGCTTGTCAGATCATCGATGGGGTAACATTTTGTCCGTAACTCACGGATATAGTGTCCCTCTGAACGGACGCAGTAAGACCGGCAGCACTAGAGCCTTTTCCGGACGTATAGACAGCAATCGGTGCGACCTGCGAAGTGTGAGTTTGTGAAAGATATTTCGACATAAAATGAGTAACCTTTTCGACAAACTTAAGCAGTTGACTTTTTGCTGTCCCCGGGTCACCCAGCAGTAACACATTGATATCTCCTCGAAGTCGCATGCCATCAGGGAGAATTTTTTTGGATCCACCAAAAAGAAGACAAGCTATTGCCTTTTTGATGTCTTGGACTTGGCTTAGACCGCGGACAAGAATCGGTTACTGAAAACTCACCCAAGCTCCCGTAGATGCTGGGAGCGACACTTTTCGAAAAACGTTCATAGAAGCCCTCACTTCTTGCCATCGCCGCAAATTCTTCCTCCTCCTCAGGCCTGAATTGCAGGCCAAACGGATTAGACCCAGAGCTTGTTGGTCCTGAGGATAGTTCAAGGTGGGCGACACGAAGATATGGTTGGCGAAGAGCTGCAGCGCCTGCATTTTTCTGGAAGGGAAAGAGTATGAGGCTAACGACTGTATAGTCTGTGAGCACAGCGACGCACGTTCTTTGCCGATTGAAATGTCGAATATATCCCAGTTGCAACGACCCTCGACCCTGGGACTACCTTCCCGGTTAGAAATCTATCGACAGACAAAAGCATATGTCTGGGCAGCTCTCCGACAGGGACCATATCCGGAGCCTCTTGAAGCTTGAGTGTCTGCTGGTCGGCAAAGGTGGACTTTGAGTGGATGATAAGGTAAGGGTCAAGGGGGCAATCTTTTTTCTGCCCGTCTACTGTAGGCGCGTCGCATTGGCGCGGCAGTCCGCGATCGGAACCGCCACCTACTCCACCCATGCCGCCGGCAGGATATATGTCCTTGGTGGATCTGCAAGAACGACACTGAAGGTGCAGCCTAGTTGCCCGTGACGATAATACTGAAGCAGATATGACAATACCCGGGATGCGTACGAGCTTGTTCATTGTGTTGGCGGTTAGGTCGCGGAATTGCAACATGTTGAGACCAGAGCGAAGGCTGATTTGGATGCCTGGAATAGCATCTGCCGCATCCTCTGCGTTCTTCTTTTTCTCGGCATCCGTTTGACCCACTCCTACGAGAGGGAAAAGGATTGAGCGTGCAGCTTTGGTGGCCGCATTTTCGAACTAGAGCTTAAAGTAAAGAACAGAACATGAAAAAACAACGGACAAACACACAAGAGGGAGTTTATCAGCCGGAGCATTCTGAATCGCGTGTGCCAGCTCGTCGTTATAAAGGCTGACGTGCCGGAGATCTACTTCAAGAATGCATTGTTTCAATAGGAGATTGGCCCGAAGTTTATCTCTACGCGTAATGGTCGGAAAAAGGAAGGCGGAAGCACGCGACGGCCGCACCTGTAGATGAATTCGCCACCAAGACGATATTGCAGGAGAAAATCGAGAAGAAGCTTCTCAGACTCAGAAGGGGAGTCGGGGGAAATGGCAGCAGGAGGGTCATGAGCGGCGACCGTGAAAACAGCGTCGGCGTCAAAGCCAGACATGTCGAGGAGGTGAGGGCAGGAAGGAAAAGACGAATGCGATTCAAGTTTAGGGCCGGTCAGGTCGCGTCAGTCACGTTAGTGTCACGACATTAAGCCTTTATCTATTGGTACCTCTCCTCATCGTCGAGCCACTCTGCACACGCCACAAGAACGACGATCATACGCTCTCGATGTGGTCCCACTCTGATGCAGCTGACGTCGACGGTGTTGAAAGAATTCACTGCCCTGACCAGATTATTTAACTGCAGTGTCGACGAGCAGTAGCAGCGAGTAGATGAGATTATTACCAGACCAGAATGTCATTTGTAGACGTCTCAGGGAGTTTTGAGCGCTGAGGTTGCTGTAGAGTTGGGTTCGT